ATATTTTGGAGGGTATAGTAGGTATTCTACGATCGTTAAAGTGGTCGTCGACTTTTTAAATCGCTACAGACCTTTAGTTGTTTTGCAATTATTATTTTCCGTAAAAAATTATGGAAAGACAAACTGGTGATTTTCTGGGAACCGGAAAGTACCTGTCATTGAGAAAAATAACAATGTTCACTGCGAATTTCTCACGGCAAACGACGTGACTAGATTGTATTACAATTGAACTAGCTGGTTTAGTATGGTTCAATGCACCGTTGACAAATTAAAAGCCCGCATAATACCTTCGATTTGTGAGCTACGAACGAACCAAACAATGAAGTTTTTCTGAAACCACGTTTCTTTTCAGTTATTCACATAGTAATGTTCAAGTTCAACTGTGAATTGTATTTTGTCAATCTATTCAGAAAGATTTCGAGACTATTTGGCCACGTTGTATGCTAGCTCCATTTTTTGTCTGCATTTGATTGTCTTCATCAACTACATATCGTTCATAAATCGGATAATTTAATAGAATAATTTAAAAATATTCGCCAAATTTTATTTCATAAAGCGATAATGAAGGTCTTTCAATACAGTGATGAAATCACTCGAAGAAATTAGTCTACGAAAAAGAAATTATATTAGGTTGTTTCAAAAGTTTTGTCCGTTTTAACGTCATGTGTTTTTGTAGCTCCATATCTTAACGAGTATTGATTCTACTGTGTCGTGGTATACAGAGCTTTTCTTTAATGCACCCCCCCTTTCATTTTTTGAACGGGTCAACTGAAAAAAATTGAAATTTAGGATTATGAAATTAATGCATGAATACTTTATTTTGAAGTGAAATTGACAGATGAAACTTCCAAGATGGCGACTGGGCGCCATCTGGAAAAAAAATGTAATGGAACGGGAAGTTCTTGCGACACATCTTTTTTAAGCTCCTGACGAATGCTTCGAAACCCTAGAATGTCAATATCCTCAACCACTACAAAATGACGGGACTTTTAATAATTGCCTGAATACATTGACATTAAACTACATAATATTAGGTAATAAGCTTGAGGTCGGTCCAATATTGAAGGAGGTTCAGTTTCGTACACCTTTTGCTTCAAATAGCCCCATAAAAAAGTCCAAAGGAGTCAAATCCGGCGAGCGGGCTGGCCATTCCATTAACCGGGAAAAGTAGTATCCAAATAGTTCCTTACTTGTCTGGAGTGATGTGGTAGTACTCCATCTTGTTGGAATACAATATTCATATCGAATTCATTAGGATTAGCATCAACGGTTTCAGTGATGAGAGGGTCAACAGTAGTTTCCAGCATATTCAAATACAGTTCCCCTGGTAAATTTTGATCAATAAATAGAGGCCCTACAATATGTTTCCAATATTCCTGCCCATACGTTAATTTTTTCTGGATATTGGGTATGTGTTTCCCGGAAAACGTGAGGGTTGGTGTCACTCCAATAACGGCAATTTTGTCTGTGAACACTGGCTGGTTTGAAAAAATGTACATTCGTCAGTAAAACAAATATTGTGGAGATACTGTTCAGGATTTATTAACATCTCACCAATTATTTGCACTTGCTGTTCTTCCGGATTGGACGGATGACCTGGGGGCTTTTTGTTATGTACACTACCGGTAGTTGGGAATTCAGATACAAGCTCCCTCAAATATTTTCTACAGATAGGACGAATAGGAAAACGTTCATTAAAAATCCTTTCGGATTCGCTTCAATTTTTTCTTCCAATGGACGATAATTGACCATTTTAGAGATTGTCGACGTGGAGTACACTCCAGATCACTAAGCCTAAGGATTAAGTGGGGAATGGGAAAAATAATAGCGTGGTCCAAACAGAACTGGCTGGTATCTCAACCAGGCATTTGGCAATGATAGTGTTAATGAACGTTGGTTTGTAAGATTTTAGCCGCGAAGATGATTTCCAAAGTGGTCGCCCTACAGTAATCCAGAATGAGGATTTTAGTCCAGTCATTATAGTAAGTTCACCTCGGAATTCGGGATACCCAGCTGTAAGTCTGTAAATACTTGTATATTGACACTCTGAAAGTTGTCTCAAAACCTACATATGGTAGGGTGTAAGCAACTATTAAATTTCAAGGTCAAAGGTCACAAAAATCGGTTTTTTGCGCTTTTTTTG